CTCGACTGTGGCATAATAAAAGCCCCGCTGCTTTACCCCACAAACGCACAACCGGAAGCAGCGGGAGCGCTCGACTGTAACATAATAAAAGCTCCGCTGCTTTACCCCACATACGCACGACCGGAAGCAGCGGGAGCGCTCGACTGTAACATAATAAAAGCTCCGCTGCTTTACCCCACATACGCACGACCGGAAGCAGCGGGAGCGCTCGACTGTAACATAATAAAAGCTCCGCTGCTTTACCCCACACACGCACGACCGGAAGCAGCGGAAGCGTTCGACTGTGGCATAATAAAAGCTCCGCTGCTTTACCCCACACACGCACGACCGGAAGCAGCGGAGGCGCTCGACTGTGGCATAATAAAAGCTCCGCTGCTTTACCCCACACACGCACGACCGGAAGCAGCGGAGGCGCTCGACTGTGGCATAATAAAAGCTCCGCTGCTTTACCCCACACACGCACGACCGGAAGCAGCGGAGGCGCTCGACTGTGGCATAATAAAAGCCCCGCTGCTTTCCAGCCGTGTGTAGCACTCGTTCAGCGCCTCGTTTCGCTTCGACGGCTTTCAGCCTCACCCTGCTTCATTCTACTACGTTAATAAATCATTAGCTCATCCATGAACATGATTTCTGCCGAAGTCCCGTCGCATTGCGTCGGGTGTGAGGATGAAGACCACAACTCCCATGATTCCTCACTCGGTCACGCCGTCATCAAACTACGCCTTTGTCTCTTTGTTTGTTTTATACATAGCCTATACGTAATCACTCCTGTAGGGTTACGTGAAGTGATTTCCCAGCATTTTTTGAACACTGCCCAGTTGCAAATGTGATATTTATTTACAACAACTCAATAAAAGAAGTAAATATTGCGGTATATATTAGACGCAATGTTGTCTGATTTTGCTAAACTGTGTAAACGAAAATATTGCCTACAAAGCCACAGAAAAACTGTTGTGCATCTCCTGACAAAACACAATTCTGTAGGTGTTTGACTGCAAAGTACCTCTGAAGCGATTAGAAAGCATGTTTGAAATTCTTGTTTTCATGTCAAATAAGTCTTGCTTTTTTTGTTAAAGCAGTGTTGCTGTTGTAAAGTTATACAGCTTAGAGTCCATTCACACCAGGCTCGGGCCATTATTTTTTTTTACAGATCGGGCTCGAGTGGGACTCGGGCTCATTTAGCTTCTCTCCTTTTATTGTGCACAGAGCACTCATAGGCTACTGTATTAAACATTGTTGTATTGATTAGATTATAAATAATTTACATCGCCTAAATCTTGGTATGACGAGCACTTCCTGTGTCTGTTTGCCTCTTTAAGAAGAATCGCTTTATGTATTCCCTGATTGTAAGTCGCTTTGGATAAAAGTGTCTGCAAAATGACTAAATGAAATGGATTCGATTGCATATGTGTCCCTGCAGCACAGAAGCAGTGTTAAGTCGCTGGGGGATATTTGTAGCAATAGCCAACAATACATTGTATGGGTCACAATTATACATTTCTCTTTTATGCCAAAAATCATTAGGATATTAAGTAAAGATCATGTTCCATGAAGATATTTTGTAAATGTCCTACCGTAAATATATCAAAACTTAATGTTTGATTAGTAATATGCATTGCTAAGAACTTCATTTGAACAACTTTAAAGATGATTTTCTCAATATTTAGATAATATTTTTTTTGCACCCTCAGATTCCAGATTTTCAAATATTGTCCGATCCTAACAAACCATACATCAATGGAAAGCTATTTAATCTCAATTTCAAAAAAGTGACCGTTATGACTGGTTTTGTGCTCCGGGGTAACATATGGTTTCCTTATCTCAGGCTGATAAAAAAAGTATAAGAGGATAAAAAAGTAAGAGCAAGAATGTGTCATCAAACATGGGACGCACAGGTGAGTGAAGCTGTACCTGTATGTGTGGCGGCGGGTTGCGTCTGAACTGTTCTCGGGCCAGAATGATCTGGTATTTTGTGAAGGAGCGGAGGTCACGCTGATTCAACAGCCTCATCTGGGTCAGACGGGACGTGAACTTCTCCAAAACCTGCGGGAAAAACAAGCCAGAGCCGTCTGAAAATCACTACAGCAGCACAATGGAGCACTCGGACGTCTCTTTTCAACACAATCACGCCACATATTCCTCTCACGTCTTCATCTTACATGCTCACTGGAGGAGCGCTTGCTGTCCTGCGGAGAATAAATGGACATGCAATCCTTCAGGACTCGTTTTCTGATCACTTCTCTACAAACAATCACTGCGGAGACCCAAACCTCTCCAATTCAGGACAAACACTTATCTGTCCCTACATATATTAGAAGTATGATTATTAAATACACACGGTCATTACGGTCAGTATGTGGAATCTGTTCATCTGTGAATCCTGAAAAATAAAATGCATCAGAGTTTCCACAGAAATATTGTGCAGCACGACTGTTTTCAACATTGATAATAATCAGAAATGTTTCTGGAGCAGCAGATCAGCATATTATACTGATTTCTGAAGATCATGTGACACTGAAGACTGGAGGAATGATGCTGAAAATACAGCTGCGCATCACAGAAATACATTACAGCTTAACAGAGATTCACAGAGAAAACAGCTGTTTCACATTTGTAGGTGCCAGATACCGTTTGATGTCTTTTATTTTGAAATTGTCACTTCCAGTTTGTTACGTCATTTTGTATAGGTGCATATTACCTGTTAGTTTGGATGTGGATATCATGGAGGAAGGGGGTGAGTAGCTGGGACGCTCACTTTCTGTTGACCGTTTCACTTTGTTTATTTAATTTAATTTTGTTTATCTTTTGTTTTCTATCTTACCGTCTTCATGCAACTTGTTGCTGTTCATTTCTATATTGTAATTAAAACCCTTTGCGATCGAAACGCGTCATGGATGTATTCCCACTACTTAGCCCCTTAGCGGGTACTGGCTGCCGCTATCACATTGTAACAATATTTCACTATTTTTATCAAATAAATGCAGCTCTGGTGAGCTGAAATGCTTAATGCTCAATTTCAAGAAAACAGTAATTATTTCTAACGTTTCAATGAAGATACAAATAAACTGTTTCTGTTTGTCTGCATTTACTAAATAGAATTGAACATCAGTGTTTCCCTGGTTCGCTGCAGGCTAATGCTGTGACCCAGATTTAGAATGATCCTGAACATCTCCATTCACAGCAGCTGAAATCATCCAGCAGACAAGCACAAGCAGCAGCTCAAGGACTAATACATGTATTCCTGGCTGAAGTGTGATCAAACTCAAACACTGACCTGAAACACACACACACTGCTCTACATTTACATTTAGCAGATGCTTTAAAATAGCAATGATATGCAAGTGCTATGACAAGTCTCGGTTAATCTAACACTACACGTAGCAAGGTTTATATATATATATATATATATGTGTGTGTGTGTGTGTGTGTGTGTATATCAAAACAAAAACAAGTAGAATAGAAAAAGAATAGAGAAAGCTGTGGTGTTAAGAGGCCTTTTTTAAAGCAAGCAAGCAGTTAGAAAACGAATAGAGAGAGCAAGTGTTAGAGGGTCAAGTCAACAAATAGATCAAATAGAATTAGAATAGAGAGTGAGGTCAAATAAAGATGGAAGAGATGTTTTTTTCTACACACTGAAGTAGATTATCAGGACAAACACAGTCACAATCTCCTCTTCATTCATACACATGTATAATCTGAAAACATGATCGCTAGTTAGAAGCATGAACAGCTCACACTGTGCGATTTTCATGTGCGCGAGAGCTGTGGGGGCTGATGTATTTATAAACCCCTGCGCTGGGTGGGCGGAGCTTATGCGGTCACGTGACCGCGACTCCGCCCTTAAGTACGTCACGACTCGTCGAGTCTGCAAAACAACACGTACGACCAGAGCGCGGTTATAACGCGAGATTAACGATCGATAGCTGCGGTTCGCGGGCATGACGGCGAGATCCGTGTAAGCGCAGGTGAAGCGTGAGGCTTGCAGTATCGACGGTCGGTGGATTCGGCGATGGACCGCGGCGGGTGTCGGTTGAGCGGCGGCGGAGGCGGTATGATCACGCTGGAGGATCTGGAGTCTGTGTCGGAGGAGCAGCTGTCAGTCAGCCCCGAGGAGGAGCAGCAGCAGGAGCAGGAGGAGAGGCTCCTGCAGTACTGGAGGGATGTGGCCCGCGGACACCAGGTGGAGGTGCCGACAGGTAACGTTACACACACAACAACCGCGGGGCGCGTCTCAAACCACAGCCGCCTCAGCGCCGGAGTTTCGCGCCAGTTTAACGGTCGTTCCCCTCAGCAGCCCGAGACCCGCTGGCTGTCAAGTCAAGTGTAGATAACAGACGACGCGCTTTAGTTCCACTCCTTCAGCAGCATCTCTCGCAATTCAGACTTCAGAGCGAGATAAAACTCAAAGTTCTGAGGAAATTAGTCAGAATTGCGAGATGTAAACTCAGAATTATGAGGGGGAAAAAGTCAAAATTGCAATTACGAGTCTATATATATATATAAACTAACTAATCTGAGGGAAAAAGTCTGAATTGTACAAAAAAAACATTTTTATTCCATGGCTTCTTGTGGCTCATATCGATATAAAACACCGTAAACACCACAGTACAGAATAAACAGTCAATTCACCTTCACTCTCTATAGTGGATGTCGGTTGTAGCACGCACAAAATATTTGATTATTAAAAACAACGAGGAAACGGAAGTATGAGATCATTGCAATCACGATTTCTGGCGCACATGAATAATAAAAACACTGACAGCCAATCAGAATCCATCCTGCTGTAAAGCGCTCGAGCATTTAAAGCGACAGGCGACAAAACCGCAACTAAAGGCCCATCACACCAGGAACAATATTCAGTGGTGGAAAGAGTACTGAAGAAATATACTCAAGTAAAAGTACCATTACCTTCCAGAAAATGTAGTGCGAGTAGAGTAAAAGTACTTGTCCAAAAAACCTACTTGAGTAAGAGTAAAAGAGGAGCCTGTATAAAAGTACTCATGAGTATTGAGTAGTGAGTACTGACCCCCTCAGAATAAACACTGTTCACCGCAATTTATACAGTTTAAAAACGTTGTACATTCTGTAATTCACATTTTCTTATTGGTCATAAAGAATGAAGAATATCTATCATCCAGCAGTTTTAATGTTGACTGCCAACTCTTTAAAATACATCAAAACCGCACGGAAACAGTATTCAGCTGAAGAAAAGATGAAATTATTCTCAGTACAATCATCCCCGTTTAAATCATAAAGTTTGAACAAATAGATTTAAAATCATGTTTAAGGCCACTGAGACAGCATGCTGTTGTTGCACATAAAATATTAATGTTTAGAACCGTGCAAATACAAACACCATTAGAAACTCATAGTTCAGCATCACACACCATGATATGGGTTAAAATGAGAGCCCATTTCTCTCCAAAACAGTGCCAATTTTAGCAATAAAGAAATAAAAATAACTAAAGTGAATCAGCAGCATCCACAACTGAACGCAACAAAAAGTGTTGAACTTGAAAATTGTTTATGCGCGAGTGCACTTGCTAAATGAAGGTGGATTGTATAAAATTGATTTTTTTTTTTTTACATTTATTAACGAGCTGCAGTTTTATTGCATCACACGCTGGCACAGATGCAGTATATTAACGCCACGGGTCATCATTACACCAAATACACTAAATAATGTTCTTTAAGCAGAAATCCGAAATTTACCTTAACATATTAAGTTAGAGGAAGATGCGACAGAATTGATGCTTGAAGAATGCGCTTCCAGCAGCCATGATAAACAGCTGGCGGTTAAAGTTTTCTATGCACAATTTGATTTGATGAGTCACGAGACCTATTACTCAATATCCAATCACATTGATGGATAAAAATCTAATTAAAATAAGCATGTAACGACCACAAACGGAGGAAAATAGCGGAGTAAAAGTACCGATACATCACTTAAAATGTACTCAAGTAAAAGTAAAAGTACACAATTTTTAAACTACTCAAAAAAGTACAATTACTGATAAAAACTACTTAATTACTGTAACGTGAGTATTTGTAATTCGTTACTTCACACCAGGAACAATAACTATAATGATAACTATATTAGAGTCCACAACAACAGATGAAAACAGCTAGTTTGGTGTATGTAAGAGGATATGGAATCTACACACGCAAATAGATAAAGTGCAATAAAATAAACACTTAGATGTGTATTTTGGATGTTTTCTTTCCACTAGTCTGAATGATATTGAAGCAAAATAGCCCAAAATCTCCATGTCTTGTTTCTGCATGTAGTGTTTTGTTTTGAGACTGATGTGCGCTCATGCATGTATGCACGACTCTCAGCCAGGCAGGATTTTCCCAGGATTCCCGCGGTGCGACCCAGTTCAGCAGATCATCACAGGACGCTGCACGTTATCGAACGCAGCCGTTAGTATGTGTGAGAGAACAAGATCATCATGAAGCGCTGGAATCCTGCGGTGCTCCGTCTGTGAAGGGTTTGTTCTGTCAACCAGGTGACGTGTGTTTGTGGAGCAGCGCTGAGCTTTAGCAGAGATTATCAGGCTCATCTGGTCCAGACCAATGCCTTTCTAAATCCACTCCAGTAAAGCGCTTTACACGCCTGCACACGTGAAGAGCAAACATCAGCGCGGCGCTCGCGTTACAGTACGAGATTCACTGATTCGGTTCAAACACGAGTCACTATTGATCGCGCTTCATGCGTTCAGCACGTTTCCAATACCATCTGCAGCTGAAGAGCAGAAAAACTCTCTGAAATATAAGCCTTACAGTAAGATTTAATTGGATCATGAGCTAACAAAGAACACAATTCATTAATGTTCATTTCTACACATACTAATATGTTAAAGGGGTCATATGATGCTTTTTTAAAGATCATTATTTTGTGTATTTGGTGTAACAGAATATGTTGACATGCTTTAATGTTCAAAAAACACATTGTTTTTCAAATACTGTACATTATTGTAGGTCCTCTATGCCCCGCCTCTCTCAAACGCTTCGTTTTCTACAAAGCCCCTCCTTCCGACAAGCGCAGTCTGCTCTGATTGGCCAGCTGACCCAGTGCATTGTGATTGGCCGAACACCGCAAGCACTCGTCGGAAATGTAACGCCCCTTACCATAATCTCAAGCTTCATCTTTCAAAATAAATGTAGAGACAGTAAATAATGCCATTAGTTTTACCTTCAGTTCAAGCCCGAAAGGGGAACAGAGTCGTGTGACAGACACAGTGATGAAGCTGCTATGTGTTTGCAGTACACAAGCCACGGTTAAGACAGCTGACTCCACTGTGATGTGTCTCTCGCTCTCTCGCGCACGCACACACACGCGCACACACACACACACACGATGCGCAAAACTCCGCATTTGAACAGTCAATAGCAAATACTTAAACTAATAACAAAACAGTAGCTGATTCAGAAGCGTCAGATTGTCATAGCAAAGTCAGAATGACCTCCTCTCCTAGCTTCACGAAACGCTCGTCCATAAAATGCATTGCTGTTCTGTTTTAAGTAATCTTAAAGATTCCTAAATGCATCTACTTCCGGAAGGCCAAATAAAGTGCTTCTGCTTTCGCCTAGAAACACACAGCGTCTCCCTGACATGCTGCTTCAACACTAACTGCGGTTACTGAAACCACGCCTTCTTTCTTTGCGTGCACATTTGGGCGCATTATGCTAATATTTCCACATAGTGAGGTAGATATGTGGGGGCGTGTTAGAACGAGGCGTTTTAGGGGGGCGTGGCAGAGTCTTAACTTTGATAAAGAATATCTCTTTGGTTTTGAGACTTTAGTCTTTGTAACTTCAGGGATCTTATCTATGCACAATCAGCTTGTAGCACTCCAAAGAGAAAGAACAACTTGAAATCGCATCATATGACCCCTTTAATTGTATAAATGAACACTAATTCATTATGAAGCAACAGGAATTAACGATCATAAACCTAGATGAGCAAGTGCTGTAATGATTGTTAGTTCATGCTAATTAACAATCTTACTGTACAGTGTGTTTAAACGTAAAACACTATACACTGGTTCATCTAAAACACACAGTTTCTGCTGTCGGAAGCGGTCAGTGTTGTGGTTTATTAGTAATGTGAAATACACGGTTAAGTGTGACCGTCGCACGACTCAAACTAAACCAATGAATAATCACTCTTATTTTTCAGGTTCAAATTAGGGCGATCTACTTTGTGTAATTGACTTAACGTTATGACCAATCTTAAAGATAATGAGATGACTAACTAGTAAGACTAGTCTAAGCAGTTTATGCTCGTGGCTGTCACTGTGATGGTCATAGACATAATCATGTAACAATGTCTTTTTAAAAAAGTCCAGGGGGCAGAAAACTAAAATTGTAATGCACCATTTCAAAATAAGAGTGTGTGTAGTTCCAGCTTGTTTATACTAAAGGTCCCACATTATGCAGTATTTTTTTTCCCAGCTCGTTACTAGTATTTTGTTTACACAATTAGCCGTATCACAACAGTACACAATTAAATGCAGAATTCTCCATTTTAAATATTAGTTCCCCTAATTATTAATTAAACAGTTTGAAGTAGAAATATCTAAAAACCTAGTGTACTTTTTGGATTCAAATTAATTTAGCTTGGTAATGTCTCATCATATCCTTTTATTAAGGAAAAACATATTATTTGATAGATTTTTTATTGTGCTCCTAAAGTTCCTGATGTGTTCCTAAATTTTTCAAATTAAGAGCACATGTGCTCCTTGAGAAAAAAATGACATGGCACTGTATTTACAGTATCTCACAGTACTGTATATCTCATCTGTTCATATGTACGTGATGACTGATGTGTAAATCTGAATCCCATCAGCCCTGAATTCACCCACGCTGAGGGTTCTGGGTAAACTGACTGATGATGCACTGAAGTGTTTGCTGTCGCTGCTCGTTAGCGTCCCGCGGGGCAGATGTGCCAGAGAGCCACTCGTGATCAGTTCACAGCGGGAAGAAATGTCAGCCAAAACCTAACATCATGACACAGTCACAATAAACAAGCCTTCAGTGTGATGAAGCAGAATCCGAGCTGAACGTTGATGTCAATCTTCCACAGACATGGCCGAACCCATCCATCAGATCACCACCAATAACGAGGGCGCGCACACGCGGGAGCAGGTGCCCTACACGCTCATCACACGCAAGGAGAAGGTGCGTACAGCTGACGAATCAAACACTGTAACGCGACACAAGAGGAATCAAACTAGCACAGTTTAGAGACACATCAATACGAGTAATGCATGTGATCAAACGCAGCTGCGTGAATGTGTCAGAGTCAATGAAATCAAGTCACTGTTTGATTGGCTGCTGAAATCATTAGACTCCACCTACTTCCATTAATTGACACTTTCAATGAAAGTCAGAAATGAACCAGAGCTGGAGGCAAAAATGCCATTTGATGGGATAAAAAAAAAAAGGCTCAGATGTGACAAATATGCAGATTATGAGCTTAAGATAATCTCCAGAAGCTGAACTGCATCTGCTGCAGAGCGCTGGTCAATCATTAAAATGTGTTCTAGAAGAGCATTTCAATCTAATCAACATCAAACACACAAGATATCAGCACAGCTTAAAGTCAACATTTATTTCTCGGAACTGATTCAATAAATAATTTGCCAAATAGATTTAACCCTAAAAAGGGCAAAACCATAAAGAGACATCAGAAAATTGATCTATCTTATTGGAACTCATAACACTATTTCATGATTTTTTTTCAAAACTTGAATCTTATTCTTAATTTTAATGTTTGTATCCCTGTATAATTTCACTGAAAACAGAATATTTGTTTATCAATGCTTGTTACAACATAAGGTTATAATTCCTGAACGCTTTGGAATACAGACTTACGGTTGGTCTCTTTAAAGAAGACACATTGCAGATTACTGCTGAATTGAAAAAAAGTTATAAAAGTTGAAGTTTACAGTAAAGATAATATAGTATACGATTTTAATTTTTTATAAAATATGTTGCACTCTAAAATTGCTATAACATCAACGCCAAATGTCTAACCAAGTTGTGTTCCAAATTTGAAGTTGATATCACTACAGTTGTGGTTCCTGTGAGATTTTGTTTGGGCACTATACCAGAAATAACCTCTGGGTTACACCCAAACTCTATAAATAAAATAAATATGGAACCTCGACTGTCAGACCTTTCCTACGATGTTTTGTCAAGATTACAAAAAGATCTGATTTTCTAAAACACAAGCCACAAAATCACAGAGTTTATATATATATGTTTTTATTTGTTTTAATGAGACAGATTACAAAAAAAGTAAGCATTTAATAATTTCAATGTAAACCCAATTAAGCTAATGCTGAACAACAGCTTTTTAAACAGTCCAACGTGTGTAAATATTAACTAGATCAACTTTTATCAGAGGGTGAGTAGATTTCTCACTACAGGGGCCATGCAGCAGGGCCCTATGCTTACTTTTCTTTTTAGGAGCACATGTGCTCCTAACTTAAATTTAGGAGCACGTTCAAAATTCTAGGAGCACCTTCTAATCGATAATCCAAAATGTTATCAAAAAGTAGCCTTCCCATTACGAGGTGATATTTGACTCCTCTAACTTTATTAAAAGTATGTCATCTTTTGTCAAATTCTTTAAAAAAAATTATATTTTATAAGCTTTTTAAAACTTGTAATTAAACCGACAGAATAAGAACAAGTAGAATAAGAAACATAAGTTACCAATCAAATGAAATCAGTATTAAAATTAATTTGTAGAGGTGGCACAGAAGAACACAAAAGTGGCTTGGTGTACTTTCAGACATTTAATGAGGCTCAGAAGTGGCATGAGTGCAATTAAATCCATGATGATATTAATGTTTTAAATATAGAAATATTAAATGATTTAAATAACTGAAAAGATACTTTAAAAATGAAACTAAAACTGCCAGCAGGTGGCGGCAAGTCACTGATTTTTATCACTGAATCATTCATTCAATTGATTCATTCGAACGGCTTATTCATTCAAGAGTGACTGTCTTTATGAATGGGTAATCATGAATCACTGACTCACTAGATTC